GGGAGGGAGGAGGGCGGCGGCAGCGGTGTTGGTGAGTGTGGTGGGTATGCTGACGGGGGAGGACGGCTGGGTGCTGGGGTCGCGCGTCGCGCCTGGCCAAAGGTGCCCTTGCCGAGGGCGGAGAGGACCTCGAAGCCCTCTCCCGTCTCTCCGTTCTCGATCACGTCCGACACCGACACCACCAAGTCGCCCAGCTCGTTGTCGTGCGGCCTGCGCGCGCGTGGAGAGAGAGAGGGGGAGAGCGTGTGGAAGAGTCGGTAGGAGGCGCTGGCGGGCGGCCGACGCGGCGTGCGATGCGGCCGAGACCGCGGCGCAACCGCGTGCGCGCGCGGACGGCGACGCCGCCATCCACAGGGCACGCGGGCGGGCGGGCGGCGACGGCGCCTCTTTGAGCAGCGCGTGGAAGGCTTGGTGAGGAGGCGGCGGTTCGCCGGCGCGCCGGCCGTGCGGCGGGGGTCGACGAGCGAGAGCGTCTCCGCCAGCCGCACCGTCAGCCGCTGCAGCATTGAGGAGGAGCCGGCCGCACCCGGCGGCGGGATCGGGTCGGCTCCCGGCCGCGCGACGAAGACGCCAAAGGCGCTGGGCGACCCCTGCCCGATCGGCGCGCGCGCACCGGTGGGCGGGGCCGAGGGCATCGGCGCGTCTGGGGTCGCAGACGGAGCGTTCGCGCGTCAGCCAGCGAAGATACCAAAACGGTATAGCGGTCGCTGGAGGCTCGGCCTGAACTCAAGCTTTCAGGTTGTACCCCGGCTTCTTCGAATAGATTTTTTTTGGAAGGAGCTTGTCTACCTCCGTCGCCGGCGCGAGACATGTTCCCGTAGGCCGGACTGTCCTCGTGTGTTTCTTCTCCGCCTGGCTGTGAGGCGTCGATAGTTATTAAATGAACTCGGGGGCACAGGACGCGGTACAAACGGGGTACACCAAAAGGCACGGGCTGAGGGTTTGGTTTCTGGAGCCTCGGGTGCTTGTACGCTTTTGATCGGGTCAGGAGAGTGTGCGACTTTTTCTTTTACCACTTTGGTCGTCTCGGAGCGCCTGCTTTTAGCATTTTCTACAAAAATCTTCGGCGCGCTGCGCGCCCGGGTGCACGGCTGTCAGACAAGTTATCGTCGTCCCCCGGGTGCGTAGCTAGTTAGTAGTAGCTATCGTCCCGCAAAGTAGTTCCCGCACACTATGGCTAGAAAAATGCTGCCGCTCGCCTCGAAAGCGCCCGCCGGTGCACTTGGAGCACTTGGAGTGCAGTCAGTAACCGCGGTGCTTGTCCTTACTTGTAGCGCTCACAAGTTTGTACGTTGTACACCCTCTCTCTTTTCTCCCAGTTTGTAAGGACGCGTCCCTCCACAACACACTTGCCGCCTGGGCAACGGTGATGACGCCGTCGCGTCACCGACCGCTCGTGCTTGCGTATGATAGCAACCCCTCGTCCGACGGTAGCGTCTCGCGCCACCGCCGCATCCCGCACCGTTGTCCGCCTACACCGCTCCGGTCGCAGCCTTGGCAAGTGCCTTCACATGCGCTGGGTCTGGTGCAGCAGCAGCCAGTGCGCAGCAGCAGCCAGTGCAGCAGCGAGTGATCGCTTGCACAAGCGGTGGGCGGTCGTCATGACGTCATGTGCGATGGGTCACTTTGGCTAAACCTAAAGCGTCAACCCGGCTGCACGAAGCACAGTGCGGCGCGGTGCAACCAGTGGAGGCAAAATCGGCTCAAAAACAACGCCCTACTGGCTGCGCAGATAGCACTGGCTCGTTATAGCGAGGCGACCGAGCGCGAGAGGTTGGTGCAGAGCGTGCAATGCAGCTGATCCACTCTCGCACTACAATGCTAGCGCGGGAGGCGAGTTCGCGGGAAGAGGAGCTGGTGGCGATGAAGGTGGTGGAGCTCAAGGAGGAGCTGGGCGAGCGTGCCGAGGCCCTCTCGGGCAACTCAAAGGTGTGGCTGCACCGCCGGCTGCACGCCGCTATAGTGAGCGAGTATTTGGAGAGCGCCGCGGGCGCCGACGCGGAGCCAGTAGAATGTCCAAAATTTTCGCCGCGCGCCTGCGGCGCGCGACTTTTACCATTTTGCCCCGGGGGCCCACTTTTGTCGTTTTGCCCCTCAAATGACAAATCAACTGCTAGCAGTGCTCTTTTAGCGTTTTGACCCAAACCGGCCGAACTTTTAGGTATTAGGATACCCTCAGACTATGACTGTGACAGACCAGGGTTCGTGAGTGAATTTTCACACTTTCACTTTCACATGTGAATTCATGTGAATTTCACATGAAACGTTTCGGCCGCCCCCGTTTCACTGAAAATTTCACAAGTTCGACTACTTTCGAAGGCTCTGGCATCTCCGAGGCGGCAGCGGCGGAGGCGGCAGCAGTCGAAACCGGTTTCGAGGCGGCAGCGGCGGAGGCGGCACAGCGGAGAGAGCGGCGGTGCGCCTACCACTGCCGGCACCGGTAGGGATCTCTGTGCCACCAATGCCGCGCGTTCCTGCTTCCCTGCAGCGAGGCCGTGGTCAAGGCCGTGGTCGTCCCCAAGGCTCAAAGAGCAGGGGCCCGCCCTCACTGCATCAAAACGCGGTGAAAGCAAGGAAGTGTAGAAAGGAAAGAGCCCACAATAACTCTAGCGAGAGGAGGTGCAGCTTGGTTCGTGTCCTCAGGCGCTCGAGGACGTGTGTGTTGCCTCAATGTTCTTTTAATGCGCGCCCCCGCCGAAATACACTGCAAATACACCATACACGCGAGATGCGTCGGCAGCGACGCGCACGACCTCTTAAGAAGCACCGTGTCGTTAGGATTAGGGTTAGGGTTAGGGTTAGGGTTAGGGTTAGGGTTAGGGTCAGAGAGCGTTCAAGCCGTTGTGCAGCTCCTAAGAGAATGGTCCGGTTTGGGCCGAAACCAAATGGAGGAATCAGCGGTCCGTCGACACGAGCTCTCGGTGAATGCTTTGGGTTCTTCGGGCTAGGGTTAGGGTTAGGGTTAGGGTTAGGGTTAGGATTAGGGTAAGGGGTTGGTTGTCGTCGCGCGCTCTCGATATCTGGCTAAGACAGAGACACAGCAGCAGAGGCGACCCAAGCGACACATCAGAGCATGGATGGGGGCGCGAGCCGCCATCTTGGACTGTGAGGCGAGTATTTGCAACCGGGAGCTCGCCGCCGCCCCTACACCGCCGCCGCCGCCCTCCCGGTGGCAAATAATCGCCCAAGTCGAAGAGTGCGCCCCGCCCTCGGTATCTGGGCGGCAGGCGGGACTAGAGTGGCACGCTGGTGCACGGATGGGGGCGCGAGCCGCCATCTTGGACTGTGAGGCGAGTATTTGCAACCGGGAGCTCGCCGCCGCCCCTACACCGCCGCCGCCGCCCTCCCGGTGGCAAATAATCGCCCAAGTCGAAGAGTGCGCCCCGCCCTCGGTATCTGGGCGGCAGGCGGGACTAGAGTGGCACGCTGGTGCACGGATGGGGGCGCGAGCCGCCATCTTGGACTGTGAGGCGAGTATTTGCAACCGGGAGCTCGCCGCCGCCCCTACACCGCCGCCGCCGCCCTCCCGGTGGCAAATAATAGCCCAAGTCGAAGAGTGCGCCCCGCCCTCGGTATCTGGGCGGCAGGCGGGGCTAGAGTGGCACGCTGGTGCACGGATGGGGGCGCGAGCCGCCATCTTGGACTGTGAGGCGAGTATTTGCAACCGGGAGCTCGCCGCCGCCCCTACACCGCCGCCGCCGCCCTCCCGGTGGCAAATAATAGCCCAAGTCGAAGAGTGCGCCCCGCCCTCGGTATCTGGGCGGCAGGCGGGGCTAGAGTGGCACGCCGGTGCACGGATGGGGGCGCGAGCCGCCATCTTGGACTGTGAGGCGAGTATTTGCAACCGGGAGCTCGCCGCCGCCCCTACACCGCCGCCGCCGCCCTCCCGGTGGCAAATAATCGCCCAAGTCGAAGAGTGCGCCCCGCCCTCGGTATCTGGGCGGCAGGCGGGACTAGAGTGGCACGCCGGTGCACGGATGGGGGCGCGAGCCGCCATCTTGGACTGTGAGGCGAGTATTTGCAACCGGGAGCTCGCCGCCGCCCCTACACCGCCGCCGCCGCCCTCCCGGTGGCAAATAATAGCCCAAGTCGAAGAGTGCGCCCCGCCCTCGGTATCTGGGGCGGCGGCAGGCGGGACTAGAGTGGCACGCCGGTGCACGGATGGGGGCGCGAGCCGCCATCTTGGACTGTGAGGCGAGTATTTGCAACCGGGAGCTCGCCGCCGCCCCTACACCGCCGCCGCCGCCCTCCCGATGCGTCGGAGTCGACTCTCGACTGCACTGAGAGAGTTCATCCCACCATCAGCACCGTATTCGCCCACAGCATGCCATGAGATTCATATAGGTCTAGTGTACACATCAGCTCAGCGAGACCAATATCTCCAGCCTCCTTCATCTTGGCTGCTGCTTGGGAGCCAACACCTGTGCAAGTGAGTGTCAGAGTGGTCGGAACTCGGTGGGAGCATCCGTCATCATTCACGTTCACACGACTCTTCACACTCGCTCGAAAAAGTGAAATTTTGTTTCACATGAAATGTGAAGTGAAAGTGAAAGTGAAACCGATTCGCTGTTTCCATGTGAAATCACGAACCCTGTGACAGACTGGCAGCCTGTCGCGTGAGGATGTCATGATGTGTGCGAACTCAGCACACGCGGCTCGCGCGGGCCTGTGGAGTTGTCAAAACGAACAGCAGCAACGCAGGATCCCATATGAGGAGCCCCGCACGCAGCAACCCACACACACGCCCATCGAGTAACTCCCCCGCCCCCCCCCCCTCTCAAACCGGTGCGGGGCGCGCGCCTGAGCCCCCGGCGTCCCGGCAAGTGTGCGGGATGTCTGTGGGACCGAGCGAGAGCGATATGCCATGTCCGCCTTGCGTTTGTTTCATAACACTCTCTCT